ACATCATCCGCCTAAACCCTTCACTCTCCACAATACTAAAAGGTATCTCTTCGAGCACAATAAACTCAATAATACCTTCCACACTTTCTTCTTGGCTCAACCCTTTAGCAACAAGCATGTTTTTGACATTCCCATCCCCAGAAGGTCCAGAACTGCCTAGAACCTTTTGCAACTCATCAGTTGGTTTATATGACTTGCAATGTTTATTGAGATGTTTAATGTAAGTACTAGTTCCACCCCCACTAGTATCACATGCAAAAAAAGAGTTACAATGGTTACACGTAGCCTTCAATACTTGTACCTCCCCCTTCTCTTTCTTTCCATCCTTTTCTACTTCTTGCATTTCCGAGACCGTACACTTAGTGAAATGATCCCAAACCCAAGATCTCTCAGAAGAAGATCTCTCTAGTGAAGCTATTATAGTTGGTTGTTTTGTCTTTGGAATAGGTGGTGCTTTTCTTTTTCTAGAGGATGAGGGGTTTGGGGGAGGCATTGATGGTTTTGACTGTATGGGTTGTGCTTGTGTTGGTTGTGGAGGACATGGTGATGTAGCCGTAGATGATGCTACATTAGTACTACTAGGGGTACTTTGACTTTGAGATTGAGACATTATGTAAAAATCTGCAAAAATCAAATAATGGAACTATATTCATTAATCAAATAAAGATATTTCGAAATAATTACTCTCTGGGATGGGAAACAGAAGCAGGTAGCACAATTAAACAGAGTGAACACACAACACACAGATTGTTGACCGACAAAAGACCAAAAAGGCTGAGAGGTATCATCATGTTATTAATTTGTGCAGTGTGTGACTGTGCAGTTGCAATCTGTGCAAATCTGTGCAATGCAGTTTGCAATCTGTGCAGTTTGTGCAGTTTGCAATCAGTGCATTGCAATTTGTGCAGATTGCAATCTGTGCAGTGCAGTGCAATGCAGTTTGTGCAGATTGTGCAGATTGCAATATGTGCAGTGCAGTGCAGTTTGTTGTGCAGATTGCAATCTGTGCAGTGCAGTTTGTGCAAATTGCAATCTGTGCAGTGCAGTGCAGTTTGTGCAGATTGTGCAGATTGCAATCTGTGCAGTGCAGTGCAGTTTGTTGTGCAGATTGCAATCTGTGCAGTGCAGTTTGTGCAGATTGCAATCTGTTTTTACTATATAAATGTTTTGTACCTAGTGATTTTATCATAAAGTAGTTTATGTCAATGACATAAAAAACATCCTTTGTCCCATGCTCTCGAATCATATCAACATTGAATAGCCGAAGGCCCTAGAAAAAGTCGATTCTTAACTTCTACCATTGCACAACGAGAGAGAGAGAGAGAGAGAGGTTACCAATCGTTGGCGGAGCTCCCTTGCAAGGTTCTCTAACAAAGGCCGTTGAGGAAGTTCTGCAACAATGATGCCATTTTTAAATAAGGGGCCCAAGGACCAATAAGGTAGTTTTAGCAACGTATCATTGAAACAGCATTTTGCAAACAGCAAGGAAAATCATACAAGTTTGAAGAAAACAGGACGCCATCTAACATAGTGATTAAACCGTTACTCATGTGAAATCTAAGCAAATACCAGCAAGAACCAAGAAGTTGGCTTCGATTATGACTAAGATATAGCAGTGGCCTCGCATTTCAGTTTTCAATTTATCCCAGGAAAACGGAAAAAAGGAACAATTCACAATCTAACCAAACTAACATAGTGATTGCAATTTAATGCAGTTTTAAACCTTCTGCTCCAGGTAGAGTTGAAAAGGAAAAAGGAATAAAGGATGTGGCTGCTCCCAGATATGTATAAAGATCATCAACAAAGAGTATCTAGATACAATGAAATTCCAAAACGCATTTATTGAGCACATATGACAGACTTTACTGCTATAAATTAACTTGATGACAATACACTCTTTATGGGGATGCATGATACATCGTTTACAGTCAAACAAAATTCAAGTCTAATGTATGTACATGGTATAGCTCATAGCTTACTAGGCATGACCAAAAAGTAAATAAAGAACAACAAAGGAAAGGTTAAATCATCTTACAGCAGTGCGTCCTTTGTGAACCCATTCAGTTATTTCGAATGAACTACGACAAAACTATTGAATAAGATAGATATCTGAGATGAGTATCTGAGATGTCCACCCAAATCAAAAGCCTTGAACTTGATTTTACCAATGCTCAACTCTCGGCTGGTGTTGAACTAACCTCTGCAACAATGCATCATCAACAAAACCCAGAAGCAGAAAACTAAATTCTATGCTAATCAAGTAATTATCAAACAGAATCAAAACAATTCCAAGAGCAAATTGCTTTATTCATTTCTTCTTCTTCTTCCTGATATTAAAACTTGAGTGATTCAATATCATCTTTAAACTCAATACTTATATTGGATTGGGAGCAGAAAATCTAATGAAAAAAAAAACCCATAGGAATTACACAAAAGAAAAGAAAAAAGATTTTCAATTGCACAATTAAAAACTACACTCTCAAAAAAACTGTTCCTTCAGCCCATATTTTCTTTTTCTTCACTTTCTCATCAACCAAACAGACCCCGAATTGATTAAATGTAAAACAAAAACGAAAATTTCAGCATAAACCAAATACCAATTAAAAACACCATTGAAGCATTGAAAATTCCCAAATTTCACCGAATTCGAAAGGACCAAAAACCCACCAACAAATTTAGAAAAAGTCCGATTAAAAGGATGAGATTGAAAGAAAAACCTCATCTTTGAGCATATGAAGCAACATCGTTTTTCCGGCATTGTGGAGACCCAAAAACAAGATCTTTGAGAATATTTTTTTATAGCTCAATCATCGATCTACAAATTCTAACTTAAAACCCCTAAAAATCCCTACACCAGAAATTCATATTAATAGTCAATTTTAGAGGGATGATGGTTGGTACTTGCCTTGGTATTAGTAGTAGCAGTGTCCTCGACGGTGGTGATGGGGTGATGATGGTGGTTGCGACGGCGGAGGTGGTGATGGGGGGTGATGATGTTGGTCGCGACTCGCGACAGCGCTGTGAGAGTGGTGGGGTGAGCATTGTGAGTCGGAGTCGAGGGAAGGGATAGGGAAAGGGATTCGAGGGAGAGGGATAGGGAGAGGGACTCAGGGAGAGGGAGTCGAGGAAGGAGAGTCTTTGAGAATCCGAGAGACTGAGGTCTGAGGTTGCTGAGGTTGGATGCTTCTGGAACTCGGTCGGGACACAGGGAAGTTGGCTAGGGTTGAAAGTAGAAAACTTAAACCGACGGTTGAGATTGGATGGAGAGATGATATTAAATCTCGTCCGTCCAATCTAACACAAACGGGCCGGTCCGGGTACCCGCGGATCCTATAATTTTGGAACCGGCCCGCCCCTAAAACTTAAATTACCCGCCCCGCCCCGCCCCTTTCTATTTTTACAAAACTAAGAACCGGCCCGTACCCGTATTACCCGCCCCTACCCGCGGGTCCAGGACCCGTTTGCCCAGCCCTATTCGAGATCATTCTATTTGGATTTTATTTTTTATTTTTTATAGTCGATAATTGGATTTTATTATGTCACCGTTTTCGACATCAAAATCTTGAAATTATTCAATTTTTGGGTAAATATTTTATTGTTTATGACCCATAACCTCACCATCACCATAGACGGAGCCAATGAAGGCTCACTGGGGGCATATGCCCTCACTCAAGTGATTCGTTTGTTAAGTTGTAGACTACAATTATATAATACACACGTGTTATCTTTGAAGACAATATATGTATCTAATATTCAACACCTTCATACTGCATATACTCCATATTAAATATTATAAGAGCAAAAGTGTTCTTGTTCTGTCATTCAAACTTAAAAAATCTCTCCCGTGTAATCATGTATTAATATTTTTCTTATGACTTTGCCACTTTCCACTACTACATTGAATTTTTTTATAACATTGGAATTGTGATGCATTATCATTTGAAATCATCTCTATTATCATATTAGGTATAAGCCATACTATAATAAAGTTTCTTAGTTGATTTTCGGGTTGCCCCCACTAGAAGAAATTTCTAACTCCGTCCCTGACCACCACCATCATCCACCGTCTTGCGCCTAATGAACTTGAAACAACGAATCCGAGCGCTTTAAGAGCCTATGGCCTTCAGACCCTCTATTAGCAATTAAGCCGAGCGCTTTCCCATAAAATACTTTTCGATCGCTAATGTTGTAAGTTGGTCACTGACAGCATATGTCTAGGATTGACACGCGACGGTTTACTGCAGGAGGTGCAGGGAATACAAACAAGAAATACTAATATGGAATTAACAATATTTAATAAAATGGTGAGTTCTGCCACAAATGATTACAACAACTCTATAACGAAAGCAAGTAACCCACAAAGAAAGTCCAAGAAATACAAGAAAGATATAGGGGTAACTTAAGCACTCTAAGCTCTTGACCTCTGACTGCTACCCCAAAGCTCCTCGTAGCGAAGCTCGGCCACTTGCAAAATCGCCCCCTACACCATGGAAATGATGTACCGGGAAAATCAACAACCCAGCAGCTACGAAGCTCGTGTGAGCGACAATAATCCGACGTGTGATAATCTATCGAACATAATTAGTAAACATCAATCATAAAATCATTGTTTATAAAATCATAAAACTATTCGTTGAAAACCCGAATGAGTCGCACAGACATCCGTCAGCCTTTCTAAAACCAACCACAAAAGTTCACAAATCTATGTTTCATAAATGCAATAAAAACTAGGGCTAGAGTGACACAGTTTAACCGAAGCCTACATTTCCTGAGCTTAGGCCACTTTCAAGGAATCAATGGACCAATGAAGACGAGGGTGCAACTTCAGACCACTCAACGAAATGTAACAAAGATCAGGTTCAAGACTACTCAACGGAACCAAACATGATACAATTATGGACCACTCAATGAAATTATGGAGTAAGACGAATCCCATACCACTCCACAAAATCCAAACAAGATATGATTCCGACCACTAAATGAAATTGCGGAGTCGGAGGTGACGACCAATAATCCATCATTGACTATGAAGTGGTTACAAAACAAGAAATTTGATCAAGTAGATTTAGATCCCTTACATAACAAGTTGACAACAGTGTGATAAGTTGACTACAAAAGCAAAACAAACATATGACCAGAGGCACAATGAAGTGCCTCATACAATAGAAGGCTTTGTCAAGTGCCCTTTTATTCTTATTCAACAACCCAAAACAGATTCACAGGAAAACCAAATGACCTAACAAGTTGGAATGACACTGATCATCATCAATAGCTTCTTGCCAGGCTTCCACCAATATCTACTCAATTCGAAGCTTTTTCCTGATAAGCATGGCGTAATCATAGACCTTTTCCTGCTCGGGAAGCGACTTGGACACGCTCTCCTTCTCCATGCACCTCTTAACCCAGGCAATAAATTTTGGGTGCTCAGCCTCAACACTGAAGTCGCCAAATTTCTCACACACAAGAAACCAGCTATAGATTGGAATAAGGGTCACGTCCACGAATCCGAGGGTATCCCCCCCAAAGAAAGGCTTGTCTCCAAGCTCTCCTTCTAACACGCCTATGCAGTCGAGAAATTTTTTTTTTGCTGCATCCTGTTTTTCTCCTTTGGTTGTCCACACCTTCTTCCCAATCTGAAATATCTGCATTTCACATCCCCAAAATTCCAGGAAAATTAATGTACATTATCTTGAGCAAGTTCAGATCCTCTACTTATATATTTCTAATATATACATCACAAACCCTAAACTGAAACCCGAAACCAGTCGAACCCGGACTCGCCGTCTGTTCTCTCACCCACTCCGAGATTAAATTAGACGATGCCCTTCTGTTTTGATGGATCTCCATACTCGTGGAGTTCTGGATTTAGGTTCAACAATGAAATCTCTGTGGTTGGAGAAAGAATTATTTTTTATCAAGAGACTTTATATTCGATCCCTAGTCACTAAGGCCATCTCCAACCGAAGGGTCCAGAGGGCCAGAGGGCCGAAAATAGCCCTAAAACCGTCTCCAACCGAGGGCTAGGCCAGAGGGCTCTGGAATCTGGGAGGACCCCACGGGATCGGAGAGGGCTGGAGGGCTGGCTGCTTTCGGCCAGCCAGCCAGCCCCGGGCTGGCTATTTTTTTTTTTAATGATTTCCTATTGCTGTCGGTTATAACCGACAGCATTACAGGTATTCTTTTTTTTTTTAATAGTTCTACTATTAGTGTCGGTTATAACCGACACTAATAGTTTGAAATGCTTTTGAATATAACGGCTAGTAGTCGTTGGATTATTAGGCCTCTTTTTTTTTTTTTTTTTTTTTTAATGAATTTAAACTTCTTTTTTTCCCTTTTTAATGAATTTAAACTTCTTTTTTTCCCTTTTTTTTTTCATTTTCATATGAATCAAATTTTGTTTCATATTTTTTTTCCTATAACTTCTATTTCACAAAATTTGTTTCATATTTTTTTTCAATTCTATTTTTTTCGTATAACTTCCTAGGCCATTTATACAACATTAAATTGTAGTTTTAAAATAATAAATTATGTTTGACCCTATAGCCCTTTGGCCCTCGGTTGGAGACGGTTTTTTGTGACAGGGCTAAAACGAGCCCTCTGGCCCTCGGTTGGAGACGGAGGCAAATATGGCCCTGTACTGTTCATTAAAATATTAATATCTTAGAGAATCTTGGAAGGCCAGAGGGCTAAAACGAGCCCTCTAGCCAGCCATCGGTTGGAGATGGCCTAACACTTTTTAACTAAAACCTTAAGAGTATTCAATTTTTTATTAAACATCCTTGACTTTGAAAACCTCATTATATTAATATTAATATGTATATTTTATATGTTTGACACTTATGAGATTTATAATCCCATATTTTGTGTATGTGTGTGTGTGTGTATATGTGGCATATAAGTCCTAGATATAAAGTCCCTCATTATATTACAATGTAATAATATGAAACGGCTACAATAATTTTTTTTTTTTGAATAAATAAATAAAAACAGTGTAATAATATTAAATAATAAATAGCAAAATCATTTATCCATCCTGTTAAAAAATTCACATGGATACATTATTTTGATTGAAATTTTATCATACCAAAATCTTAGACTAAAAATTACTAATTTGAATATTTTGATTGAAAGACAAAATATTAAATTTTGGTATTAAGTTTTCCCTATAATCTTACAAAGATTAATAATTCATCTTACACTTATCAGATTTTTTTAGTTTTTTCACAAAATAAAATGTTTTTTTATATTTTTAAATAAGGATACATTTGAAATTGAAAAAGGTGTACATTTATAAACTTTACATTAAAAAAAAGGGTTCATTTTACATAAAAAATGGTACATTTACAAAAAAATAAAATAAAACAAAAAAAGGTACATTTTACGTATAAAAAAGTAGAACATTATAAAAAAGAACAGGTACAATAAAAAATTATAAAAAAAAAAAAAAAAAGGTACATTTTACATATAAAAAAGTGGAACATTATAAAAAAGAATAGGTACAATAATAAAAAAATAAAAAAAACTAGACTACCAATAATTTTTTTAAAGAAAAGGGCAATAAAAGAAATTAATATGTGGGTACAAATTTAAAAAATAGTTGCAAATTATAATTTGGTACAAACTAAAAATAAAAATATATGATACAAAGTATAGTCATAAATATAAATATACAAAATGTAACGTTTCTAACACTAAATTAATATATTTGAGAAATCTAATTCAATTATGCTAATATGTAAATAATTTATTATTAAATAATTAATGACATTCATTAAAACCTAAACATTTTAAAAGAAATAAGATTTTAATTAATGAAGAAGAAAAAATAAGAATGACAACCTAATTTCTTTTATTTTTTTTAACTTTAGTTTTGTTTAGTTAAAAAAAATCTTTAATTTATAATCTTTAATTAATTTTAATTTTTTTAAGAGAGCAACATCAACGTCAATGTGAAATCACAGATATCACGTCATCACTTAACGGCTAACTTAATAGATTTTTCAACGTTTGTGTGAAATTAAAAAAAATATAATAAGTAGAAAACTGAAATATTTTAAAGATATTATATAAGGTTGTAATATCAGGATGAAATATAATTTACCTTGATATTAACGCTGAACATAGATCCAAAACACCATTGTTCAATTGTTTAAACCAAACATATTAAAAAAAATTGCAAATAAGTGAAATAATGAGTAAATATCACCTTCTTCTTGTCGACGAAGTCAGCCCAGAATCTGGCCTGGGCTCTGAGGTAAGAGTCAGAGGGCAAGAGTGGAGCCCTATCATTCCAAACCTCATCAATGTACTGAAGTGCAAATAGGGACTCACAGATCGGTTTTTCATTGTGAATGAGAACCGGGATCTTCTTGTGAACCGGGTTCATCTGCAGCAACAGTGGGCTCTTGTTCCACAAGTCCTCATCTTTGTACTCATACTCGATGCCCTTCTCAGCCAGAGCAATCCTTAGCCTCATCCCAAATGGGCTTTGCCAGGAATCCAACAAAACCACCTCATCCGCCATTGAAGGTTGAAATCTGAACTGTTTGATACAAAATTGCAAAAGGGTTGCACGAGGTCAGCTTAGATAAAGCTGTGGGGTGGTAGTGGAGGTAGTAGTTGGGGTGTTTGTGTGTGTGTTTATTTATAGACAAAAGTTGAAAGGAAAGACATAAAATCCAGAGAATCAGTCCTCAAAGACTCTGCATTTCCTTTATATTTCTCTATTAATTTATGTTGATTTGTTGTAATACATATATCACCTGTTTGCCATACCCTTTGATCGGAGAGGATTCAGCTCTCTCATTTTAATAAGAGAGCAGTCGGGTCTACCATTTTGAAAGAGAGAACCAGACAGAGAGAGTGTGAAAAACATGGGGCATCATTTAAAAGGCAGCAGTTGCTGCTTTAGTGCTCTCCGCAGGGTGCCCTAGCAATTACTCATATTGGTGCTAATTTTTTAGAGAGAAATTTGTTATGTATTTTTTTAATCTCTATTTGTTCTTTCATTTGAGTGAGATGGGTGATGTGTTTTCAATTTGGAAGCTATTTTTAAATGAAAGTGTGATCGATTTTTTAAAGTTATTTTTGATCCCATTGTTGTAAATTACTAGCTCCGCTTCTCCCTAGAGTATAAAAATGCATTTTCAATCTTTTTATGTGTTTCTATTTGGACTCAAAATTACACTATCGATCCGTGCAATCGAAACCATTGATTGAGCATGGTTCTAAACAATCAAATGAAAAAGTGATGAGAATTTTATTATTGTTAAAGAATAATATTATGATTTTTAATCATATAATAATTATCTTTTAATATGAATTATCTTAGTCTTTTCTTTTACGGAATAATAAGATGCAAATTATATCGGACTTGGATTGCCTACTCTCTCCATCTCATACCCTCCTATTTTTATGGTCACAGTTCAGTTACGTTAACATTTTATATTTCTATTACCTTTTGTCTTATTATTTCTATAAAAAAATTAATATAAAATATTGATGTGACTTAACTGTGACCACATAATAGGAGGCATGCGAAGAATATGAGATGAGGAGAGCAGACAATCCAAATCTAATTATATCTCCAAGCAAGCAGTGCAGTTTACATGGGATTGGGATTCTTGTCATCGGATTGGATTGGAGCAGTGGGATTAGAATTTTCCTCTTTCTCTTTCTCTTTTTATTCTCTTTTCTCTCCTCTTCTTACGTACTGTATTAATAAAACTAATGAAAATGATTTGAAAACTTTGAGTTTTAATAATAAGGACAAAATAAAAGGTAAAGTAAATAGTACCAGGATTAACTTTTTAGTGTAAAAATATGGTTTTTCGTTAAAGTGAACAGTACCATGAGTTTTTTGTTAAAATTTCCTACTTTACTTTGTTTTTTTATAAAAAAAAAATTAATATAAAATCTTAACGTGATTTTGTTATGACTGTTTAAATAAAAAGAAAAAAAATAAGAAAGGAAACGGCATGGGGTTGATCAGAATTGTCAGGATGCATAGTCATGCATGGGGTCATGACAAGTAACAAAAAGTGATGTGATGTGATAATGACAAGGGAGTGATATTGCAAGTAGATTCTGCATGTTGAAACGTGTGAAATTAGATAGCATGGGTGGAGAGGGAGGCAGATTTAGTAGCTTCTGCATGTTGAAACGTGTGAAATTAGATAGCATGGGTGGAGAGGGAGGCAGATTTCCTGCCCTCCCACTTTTTGTGCCCTATCGTACTTTCTTATTTTGTATGATCACGGTTAAGTAATGTTAATATTTTATATTACTATTATTTTTTATCTTATTATCTTTATAAAAAATATAATATAAAAAAATGATGTGGCTTAACTGTAACCACATAAAACAGGAGGGCACGGAAGAGCACAAGAACTGAGACGGCAGAACCTTGAGAGTTGTTTTAATATGACTTATTTGTCGATTTTTTTGTAAGACGTTAATTTCTCTTATAAATTTTTATCTTATTTGATTATCTTCGAAATTTTATAATTAGCCAAATTTCTTTATGCCATTAGATTTTTTTAATTTTGTTGATGCACAAAATCGGAGGTCTTGGAACAACGTAAATCCGACCGTGAATTTGCAAGAAAGTAAAGAACACAAGTTGTATCGTAGTTCATCTCAATGTTTGGGCTACGTCCACACTGATGTTGATTGTATTTCTCTCTAATTGTATGTATGGATTACAAGGGTGAGGGGGAGTCCCCCAGAGAAAAAGAGTTTGAGAGAGCCTCTATTTAGGGGATGCGAGGCCCGAGGATTGTGAATGTGAGGAGTCCCTTTTATAGACTAAGTACTCATTACTTATTACATATTTGCCCCTTCATTGATTACATAATTACACTTGAGTCCTCCGAGTATTTATACGAGGTATAAATACGAAGGCTCTAAGTATGATACAAACAGTAGTACCCCAAGTCTTCCGTCAAGAGAGTCTTTTGGCTGGAGACTTGAAATTTAGTCCATGTGTGGGCCGAAGTAACTAGATGTCGTCTAGAACTGATACTCGATATGAGGCGGTGCTCAATGTGAAATGATGCTCAACTAGAAGTAGCACATGTTGCGATGTTGCTTGGCTTGTGGCTTATGTTGCCTTGGTTGGCTCGGCTTGTGGCGTTGAAGGTGAAGGAGTGCCTTTTATAGAATAAGGGTTCGCTCCTCAATACATAAATGATGGGCTATAAGTGATGCTAGCGGCGATGCGGTTGCTCAATAGGCGGCGATGCTCTCTAATAATGGTGAGGGAGTCCCTTTTATAAAATAAGGGCTCGCTCCTCAATACATAAGTGATAGGCTAGAGTTGATGCTCGTGGCGAGGTGGTTGCTCAGTAGGCGGCAATGCCTCTAATGATGGTGAGGGAGTCCCTTTTATAAAATAAGGGCTCGCTTCTCAATACATAAGTGATGGGCTAGAGTTGATGTTCGCGGCGAGGAGGTTGCTTAGCTGGCAACGATGCTATCTAATGATGGTGAGGGAGTCCATTTTATAGAATAAGGGCTCGCTCTTCAATACATAAATAATGGGTGCTCTCTAATGAAAGTGAAGGAGTCCCTTTTATAAAATAAGGGTTCGCTCTTCAATACATAAATAATGGGCTAAGTCCCCCAAGTACATAGTGTAGTCCCCCAAGTCTTCTATGAAAGTATAGTGCCGAAGTTGGGCGATTGTTCAGATGCGGTATTTTATATACCCTGCATGACTGAAGCTTTGTAGGTGAAGCTTTGCAAGTGAAGCTTTGAGAGCTTTTGAAAATGAAGCTTTTGAAGCTTGATGAAGCTCTGAAAGCTGAAGCTGAAGCTGGAGCTCTGTAAATGAAGCTTTCGAAGCTGATTGACATGAGTGATGCTCATGAATGTTTACATTGATTGACATAAGTGATGCTCATGGATGTTGACATGAGTGATGCTCATGAATGTTGACATGAATAATGGTCCTGAATGTTTATGTATGATTGACATGAGTGATGCTCATGAATGTTTATGTATGATTGACATGAGTGATGCTCATGTATAATTTTGGAGTACTAGACGTACTTTTGATCACCTAGTTAGTGATAATAACGACAGGCTGCCGAATAATTTTGGAGTACTGGACGTACTTTTGATCACCTGGTTGGTGATAATAGCAGTAGGCTGCCGAATAATTTTAGAGTACTGGACTTACTTTTGATCACCTAGTTTGTGATAATAAAGGGTCTGGCTCTTTTGGGCATATGGGCCTTCAGCCTCCACATAACATTCCAACCCATTATTTTAGGCTTGTTTTTTTTTTTTTATTACTCTCTGATGGGGTTATACAGATGTCTCCGAAAGATAAATAGATCACATCATTCAAAAATAAATCTGACCCTCTGCTCAATGGGTCACGCCCATAATTCCTTTTTTTGCATGCCATCACCACCGCAATTATGTCTGCTTTTTTTTATTTTCTTTTGCTTTCTGCTTTTCTTGATCTCCCCGCTCATTCTGCCCACCCATGTTGCTTTGCAAGATATCTTTTGCTTTTCTTTCTGGAGGGTGGATTGTGTTCATTGGGATCAATCATCAATCCTTAATGCCAAGCTCAACCTCGAGTTCATCGTCGTCTTCAAAGAGCTTAAGAAGACGGGCGCGTTGCTCTTCTCTCTTCTTCTTCTGCCATATCTTGAACAAGAAGACACAGAAGCCGATGATAGCCGCCACCCCCAGCAGCACAATCACTGCCTTGAGCGCTACCGACCCACTTGAAGCTTTGTCTCCGTTCTTGGGAGTTGAGGGCTCGTCTGCCGAACCTAAATTGAATAGGAGGCTAATGGACAAGAGGAGGAGAATTGGGATTTGTAGTTGCAGACATCGTTGGCAATGGCTGCTCCGAAGTCCATTCATGTTGTCTGTCGTGTTTCTCGCGGAACCCAAATAAAACAACGACAGTGAAGATGTTGTACAAGTACAAATACAAATAGAACGTTGAATTTTCAACTGCAATTTGGAAGTGGACGAGGAATGTTCTCGGTTGTTTCCTTCTAAATTTCAAACACTCCAACCTAATTAATGTAACGGGTCACTTGCTGTTTGATTTCAGTGTGGTTATTGAGACGGGCAATATATGGCTAACATATATTGGAGCAGGTGAGCTTTGTAAAATGAGCAGGTGAGCTTCCGCCTCACCGATCAACGATCCCCCGCTCATCTGAATCACGACACCGTTGTTGGTCTGCGCCTGCCCGTTGATGGAGTGCCTGTGGCATCTAGCCGAGACCGTGAACCCGTGCGGCGAAGAGTAGGCTACCTACACCAGTCCCGCCACGTCTTGGGCGGAGGCAAGGTGTAAAACGGCCAAGGGCGCCGTTCTGCTCATCAGGCCGAAAAGAGCAAAAGAGTTTTTTTATCATCCTTTTTGTTATCAACAGCAAGAGCCGAAAGAGGGAGAGAGAGAGAGGGTTTGGTTTCTTAGGTTTTTCTGGGAAAACTTAGGGTTCTTGGGTTTTTGCAGATTCATGGTGGAGGTGAAAAAATGAAAGAGAACCAACATAACTTTTCGTACCGTTTCCCACAGACGGCGCCAAATGTTGATGCACAAAACCAGATGTCTTGGAACAATGTAAATTCGACTGTGAATCTGCAAGAAAGTAAAGAACACAAGATGTATCGTGGTTCACCCCAATGTTTGGGCTACGTCCACACTGATGTTGATTGTATTTCTTTCTAACTGTATGTATGGATTACAAGGGTGAAGGGGAGTCCCCCAGAGAAAGAGAGTTTGAGAGAGCCTCTGTTTAGGGGATGTGAGGCCTGAGGATTGTGAGGGTGA